TATATATATATATATATTGGATCGATTTTCAAGGAAAGTTATCTTTCCTGTATTTTTTTTTAACAAGTTTGTTGTGCTATTACAACAAATATGATTATCTATAATCACTAATTTTATTTAACAATATAACTTTGCTACTTTAACATAGAAAACTGGTTGTCTGTATATTACGCGACCGTAGATTTGCTGAATCAGTGAAGCTTTTAGTTATTTTAATAAATCTTTTTTTTTCCGTATTTCTAATAGAATCACAACGCACAAAGATTTATCGTAATTATTTTCAATGTATGCCGTTTGATCGATGTGTGTCGATCATTGTACATTAACTTATGACACTGTCAAAAACAATTATGACAATCTTTATGCGTAGGCCCCATACGCAGTTACTTCTCTGCCTATTCCCATCGTCCCTTCAGTTTCTTCTTTTCTGACGAGAAAGCAATCGGAGTATCGAAATGTAACGATGCTCATCATCGGTGGCTCATTTTTTCTCGCCGTATCTTCCCCAACAATTATCGTGTAATAAAATATAACTTATGCGAGATAGCGCCGAGTACAGTACGATTGTGCGCAACGAGATTCTTACTTGTCCTGTCCCAGAAACGCACATGTTAGTACACGCGCCTAAATGTGAGGTCGTGTGTGCGCACTTTTCCTCGCTCATCCCTCTCTTTTCGTACACTGAACTTAACTATCAGTATTGTCGGTACGCCCCCCCGTAGGAAAAAGAAAACGGAAAGGAAGAAAAACGAAGCACTTAGAAAAATACACTCTTAGGATTCCCGCGAATCGCAGCGCCGCAGCATACGCGTATGCGCAGGATGTCTCAGAAATTGTGTACACACAGGTACGTGTGTTCCTGCTCGAACGCACGGAGCGTCCACGTGAAAATCTTGGATTCACTGTCAGTAAACTAGCGACAATCATTTTTAATCGTAAGAAGTCTCGTTATTTCGCAAAATTTTTTTCCCTCGGTATCCGCGAGTAAGATAACGCGGATTATTCCGCGTAGAAATCGCGTAACTTTTCAATTCCCTCATATTCCTACCAGAAAATTTCACCGTACGAACGGATGATTTCAGAGTCGCGAGAATTTCAAGGGTCGACACGTTCTTACATATACTTGGAATTCGTGTACATGCGCTAAAAGTATACTGTACATGACACTCTGTCGACGATCGTTAACGAAGGGAATAAATTGCTCCATCGTGAAAAATAATTTATGCGCGTGTATGTGCGTATGGATCGACATTTGTAGCTGTAATGTTCCTGTGCTTAGGAATATCCCGCATGCGTAATATTTGCATGACGTATAGAAATGACATGAAATAAAAATAAAAGGATCTATCCATTATATTACGAGAAGTAATCAACTGAGCTTGGAGATACTTCGCGATATCGACACATTGCTCTCTTACAAAATTTGCCGCGTTGTCCTTCAACCGCTCTCCGCTTATCAAAATGCAAATCTGAAAAAACGCATGTCAACGCTCTCGAGAGATCGCGTGCGAATTTGTTCCTCGATGTAAAGGAGAGACATAAGAGAATATATGAACGTGTATATATAAACTGAACTTCAAGTGCGCTTAGTAAAATCTGTGTGCGAAAATTGTGGGAAAAGGTTTCGATTGGTATGCGCGGCGCGCACGCGTGACTCTTCCTCTCTTCCTCCGCGTGGAGCGTCATGGAATGCTCGAGCGTTTCTATAGCGAAACGAGAACGAAGCCGAAAATCGCGGTATAAAATGTGCACGAGCCTCGACGATTCTCAATGGCCAGCTTCGATTAAACGGTCCGCGACCCTCTCAATTTTATACAGTACCCGACTGTTTTCACCGTCGACAATCGGATACAAGTACGATTAACTAAGATCCCTTTCTTCGGCATATATACTAAGATCGTGATATCACCCGCGAAATCGTCGCTTTCAATCTCGTTTTCTGCGACATCTATCCTCTCCAAGGATCCATCAATGGCTCACCATCTCGTTCGTAAAGCACGCATTTCTCTCACAATCGATCGTTCTTTCTCACTGCCTTCGTCAAGGAGCATGCCGTTTTTCTAAACGACATTACGAACGATTGTCGGCTTCTCAGATTCATTAGTATAAGACAAGACAAACTAAACGTTTTGCTACGCTTCTGCATAGCATTGATAACGAAGGGGTCTTCCTCTCTCATTCTCTCGCTCTCCTTCTCTCTCTCTCGCGTCGGAATAGAACCGAGACGAGCCACGAACCCATTGAAGAATATCGTCCGGCCAGCCATGTCGTGGATAACATTTTCCTCCTCCGTTTGCGCTTAACGTAGAATACAGAATTAGCCTAGTAGAGACCGCAGCCGCGCAGATTATTGGCGATAATGACGTCTGTGACTGCGTCGAACACAAATTGAATGTTGTTCGTGTCGGTGGCACAGGTCGTGTGGCAGTAAATCTCCTTCGTGGTCGACTTGTTCTTCGCTTCGAACTGTGCCTGGATGTATGCAGCCGCTTCACTGTACGCCTGCGCACCTACGACGAGCATTCAACGCCTCGTTAGCTAACATACTTGTAAGATGATAAATTAAAACAATAGCACGTGTTTTAATATATAATTTACCAGCATATTCGGGAAAACAGATTGTGAGAGGAGACTTGCGGATTTTTTCCTCAAAGAGATCCTTCTTGTTCAGGAAGAGGATAATCGAAGTGTCGGTAAACCATTTGTTGTTGCAAATCGAGTCGAACAGCTTTAAGCTTTCTTGCATTCGGTTCTGTAAAACATCAAAAGGATTAGTTACATTCTCGTTCGTTTATATGAGATATTCGTGAATTTCTCTTGACATTTCTCATCGTTTTCTCTTCCACAAAACTCTTAGATGCAAAAGGATTATTAATTATAAAGGATTATTAATTAAAGAAAGATTAATCAAGAATTATGTAATATTCACATTGGTATAAATAGCACGAATGATTCAAGCTCGTGATATATGAAACTCGCTCTCCAAACATGATATTATATTTAAAGCGATCCTTATTAATGCGGACGTGATACACTTATCCCGCGCATAATCAGTATAGGCTACGATGGATTGGTGATACAAGGTACGAGATGTATACGTAATGACAATTAACATTGGTAGGAACGACTACACGCGTATGTCGCATGCGAGTAGAGAGTTCAACGGAACCTTCCCACATGCAGCGACCTCGGCAATTGATCCCTTGATTCCTCGGAGCTTCAGTTACGTGTATATTGTCGCATTCCTAATTTGGACATGATATTCTTCTGACAAATCGCTATACATTCAACTCTATATGTGCATACATCAACCGTATCCAATGCTGATTATCTCGGATTCTCAATGTAATCGCATGAATGTGCGCTTTTATAGTCGCAATAAGAAGAATCGTCTTTATCATGTCTCGGGGATTAAAAACATGTTGCTTTTTCGCTTCGTTTAATTGTATATTTATTTAAAAATATGATATATTGGTGGCTGTGATAAAAACACCGAGATTCGATGTTTCTTAACTTTTTCTCAATAAAATGCTGATTTTATTATATTTTAATGTAATATAAATAATATTAATGATTTTCATATATAAATATAAAACACATTAAAATTATAAAAAAGTTTAAATTAGAAATGATTAAGTTCAGATCGAACGTATTAATAAATGTTCAATCGAATATCCAAAAAAAAATGAAACATTATGAATACGCCAGAAAGGATAAATTAGAATATTTACCGTCGTTTCGTCCTCGTGCAAGACTTGATCGTATTCGGACATTGCTACGCAGAAAATAATTGCAGTTACATCCTCGAAGCAATGTATCCATTTCTTACGCTCACTCCTCTGACCACCTACATCAAATAATCTAAAAAAAAAAAGACAAAAATAAAATTAATTTTGTTGTTATTTGAGTTTTTTAATTACTATTTTATCAAGATATTATTAGAAAATAATCTTGATAAACAAAATCATGTCAACATCAATGTCTGCAATCGTCACAAGCTTATGCATGTGTCATCTAATTAATTCTTAATCGGCACTTGATATCACTGAGAGATGACAGTATGATAGTTTTAATGAAGGCATAATTATTTCAACACTCATTTCAACCGCTAATGACACTAATTCGATCCTCCCCGATAAACGGAAAGAAGCATTGGCGCATACGACTCATCGTTCGGCTTCGTTCCAAGTAAATGCTCGAATTATCACAGTAATGACTCATGCGTCGATCATTCATAACGGAGCCGCCTCGCATCTCCAGAGCATCGCGCTCGCTCGCGGAATAAACAAATCGACACATAAATGAAGGATTGATATCGTTATCATGCGCAAAACAATCCTAATTAAAAATCCTAACTCAAATGTAAATTTACAATGCATGATTTATTGTCCTATTTTAATTTGATTTTATAGATTCTTACTTAATTTAACAGAATCGGAATAAAATCTCGACTTACTTGAAATTGAGGTTTTTGAATGAGAAATGGACTTCCACGATTCCTGTCGTTTTTACTCGAGTTCTGAGAATATCCTGTTCCGTTGGCTGGTAATCCCTCGTTCCTAATCGGTCCAAGTCATCCAAGAAACTATAAAGAACAATGAATTTATAAAAAAAAACGTTGCAGAATTTTAAGATACAAATAATACATTACATTTACATATTTCCATATTCAAAGTATTTCGGCAAATTATTATAAATTAATTATCTCGTGTTCCTATATTAATTTGTTCCTATATTAAATATTTTATTTTGTTCTATTTCTTAAAACAATCTCGAAATAATTTTCCTCTTTAATTAATTCCGATTTATTTATTTTTACGAATGTACTTTTTCGTATATATATATATATATATATGAGCATTTTCATCTTTGGTCATAATTCTTCGTGGCATATATTGTACGGTTAATAATTTTTTAAACGATTATTATCGATTAATATATATTGACAGATGCAATAAATTAGCATCTGTTTATACCTACAATAAATCCAGATTTAAATTTCGAGCGGTGAGAGCATTAGGGAGCTAGGGCGCGGCTCGCAACAAGTAGCTGGAAGCGAGTGGATATAATAAATGGTGTTACTGTAATCGGGTCTTCGTAAACTGTCGTGCGAACTAGCCACGAGGAAATGCTTCCGCCAGTGCAAACGCTTCGGAACTTTCTAGTCGATTGTTCACAAAACCGACACTATTAATTCAATACCGCACGTAAGTACATAGAAAGAACAGTTTTGCTAAAGTATAAAAATTTAGTTAAGACAGATCTGAAAATAATTTTGTTGCATCATCAAATTAATTATGTAAAACGCTTAAATATTGATGATAATGCTGAAAAAGTTTTTATTTTTTTACTAGCAATCAGCGTCCTACATAATTATTTTGATAATCGAATAAAATTATTTTCAGATCTATATGTAGCTAAATTTTTAGATACCTCAGTAATCTTCCGTAACAATCAAATCCGATTATCTTTTTTTTCTTTTAATATTGTTTCAATATATTACAGGATATTTACCAGAATTAATAGCAATGTTCAAATAAATGATGACCAAAAATTTATGAAATATTTGAATTATTAGCTTCATTGCTAATTAAATAAATTAGTTCCATTAATTATAATTTCTCAATGTTGAGTACGAGTATTAAATATTGAATGATAATCTAAACAATAAATATTCAATAAGAGAATTAAAATAGATGCTAAAAACAATTATTTTTCGAAACAAAGTCATACAACAATATAATCATTTTATATAATCATTTTATATAATCGTTAAAATAATTAAAATAATTCTTCATTCCGATTATAAGAATCGCCGCATACACACTTTTTCAAGCAAAAGAAAAAGTAAAAGGTTAGGAAAAACCACGCAGCGCCATCTTTTTAGACTTTTGATTACGTTTAGAGATTGCAAGTTTGCAAGATGAGAATTACAAAATTTCTCTTAGCTTTCGTAATGAAAAAAAAGAAATGAGATGAGAAAGGAGATTAAAGCTGATTCAGAAGCTGATTATGAAGAGATCTAATGATAGATGAATTTCTGACAAGAGAGGAAGAGAAAAAAAATGCAAACAATAACAAGATAATGCAATAGAATAGAAAGGGTCCAGAAAGAGCGAGAGAGAGAGAGAGAGAGAGAGAGAGAGAGAGAGAGAGAGAGTATATGCGCGAGAGAAATGAAAGCAAAGATCGAAGCACAGGGAAATCAGGCCGCCATGAGAAATTCGACTATTCGAGACACGTCAAAGCTATGACGAGCGAGTGAATCTTGGTAACATCTCCCTGGGGAAAAGTGTTTAGATTTTTCTGGCAATAGAGAAAAAGAAAAAACGGAGAGAAAGAGAGAGAGAGAGAGAAGCGAAACTGAGCAGAAAATAGAAGAGAAGGTGTAGTTTCGCCGGAACCCGATCAGCCATCTTGGTTGTGTGCCACGTGACACGGGCGTGGCGTGACGTCATTTGCGATCAATAATGACGAGGGCGCATGAGGGAGAGGAAGAAAATCCCCGAAGAAAGCGATAAAGAAAAAAGAAAAGAAAAAGGGGTGCATTTCTCGTAACATTTCGACTAGGAGCTACCTTCCTCGCCATCATCATTCCTCTCCTTCATCCCTCCTTTTTACAACCCTATCTTCGGACAAACCTGTCGCATCTCCTCCGGCACTTACCCCTCAGGAAATTCACGTTATCCTCTTCCGGTCTATGCGCGAAACGAAATTCCCGCTGCGATTCTACACACACACAC